CCAGGCATGGGGCACCCACAGCTCTCCAGGCAGCTGTGCAGCGCCTCAGCGCCCTCTGAGTAAAACATTTCTTCCCAACATCTCACCTAACTTCTCCTCTTGCAGTGCAAAGCCATTCCCCTCGTCCTGTCACCATCAGACTGTGTAAAAAGCCGGTCCCCTCCTGCCTGCCAGCTGCCTTAAAGAACTGGAAGGCTGCAACGAGGTCTCCCTGCAGCCTTCTCTTCCCCACACTGAACGAGCCCAGCTCCCTCAGCCTTCCTTTACAAGAGATACGCTCCAGCCCTCTGATCATCTGTGTGGCCCTGCTCTGCAGCTACTCCAACACCTCCAACCCACACCCTATCTGTGCTGTAGGCACCAGGCCTGGGTGCAGTACTCCAGATGGGACCTAACAAAGGCAGAGCAGATGGGGACAACCTCCGCCTCTCCCTTCTGCCCCCCAATCTGTTGGTGCAACCTTCTGGGCTGCAAGAGTACAATGCTGGCTCTTGCTCAGCTTTTCTTCCATAAGGACCCCAAGTCCTTTTCTGCAGGGCTGCTCTCCTAGCCTGCACTCATAGCTGGGACTGCCTTGACCCAAAAGCAACACCGCGCACTAATCCTGATGCCAAAAGCATTTGCACATATAATCTTTTGAAAAACACACTTAGAAATACGACCTTAGAATGAAAGTTAGATCTTTCAATCTGAATTGAGCAAATTTATTTACTTTATATATACTCAAGGCTTCAGATGTTCATGAACTTCAAGGAAGATTCTGATTTTAGATATTCTGGCTTTGTAACATTGCCCAACGTCAAAACAGAAGGTTGTTTATGATCATCACTTAAAACAATAACTCAGGAGTAAGAATTAACTTTGTCTGGCACAATTCTCATTCTTTATTTGTACTTCAGTACCTGATCTGTTTTTTAAAATCATCAAAGAGCAGAATACAAACAAACATCCCCCTGCATGCCGGCCAGGGAAGAAATGTTTCCCTTTGTTCCATTCTCAGGTCATTCTCTGAGATGCTCAACAGAACTGAGTCAGGCACTGCTACCTTGTATACCCAGAACCCGCTTTCCTGCGATGCAGTTCTGCTGTGGGACTTGTGTGAGAACACGAGCCTCAGATCCCTGATTTCAGCTTGCAACAGAAGCACCGAAGATTAAATTACCAGCAAAGCAAACTTTAAATACCTAAGTTCTGAGCACTATGGCAGCATCTGACTGTAATCTGGCTAAGGAAGTTACACACATTGCACTGGGTTGTAGGGTTGTTTTTTTTTACATGAAGATGGTATGGGTATTTGGGGACATCAGTCATAGTAACAAAATCTCATTTGTAATACGAATACCTTCCGTAACGTCATATTTAGTGAAGCTCTGCAATTTGCACTGGGTTGAGGTGTGCCTAGCATATGATGGAACACAGAACAGCAGTGAACAAAAACCTTAATCTCCTACTGAAGTCTGTCAGGAACAATAAATTATACAAACAACCCTTGCAATCCAGGACTTGGAAAACCTAAAGACTGAGGATTTTTCAGTTCCAGATGCATTTGTGCAGATCTGCCACAGTTAAGAACTGGGCACACCTCTGTGCAGGGTCGAGCCTGGGCTCTCAAGTTCTATGCTCTTCTGCCTGCTTAGCTGCAGCACCAAGATACAGTCAGTCACATCTACACCATAAAACCATTGGAAAACTCTTAATTTGTAACCACACAAAATTCAGTCACTACTGCCTACAACTAACAGCCTCCTGCTTTTCCTCCAGTGCGTGCTTTTGCCCTCTCTGCATTCTTCAGTGCCTCCAGGCATCTCTGTGCTGACCTATCCACCACAGCACCAAGCTGATGAGATGTTCCCAGCACTGAGACCAGCCCAATATTTGATACTCCTGACAGACTGATATGGGGAAACAGTCTCTCTAGATTTTTCCATAGCCTATGGCAAGCAATAAAATTAAATGATCACTTTGAACAGCCTCAGTCCTTGCGGTTGGGAACTGCCGTCCTTTGATGATTTATCTTGGGCACTTAGTTGCAGATCAGCAATCAAGGAAGGCCCTAATTATGCCACTTCTCTTTGGCAATCCAGCTGCCAAGCACCTGTATCTTCTGCCTTCCTATCGTCTGTCATGTAGCAGGAGAAAAGATTTCTTGCAATAGATTAGCATGAAAACAGGGCAATGCATTGAGCTTTTCTTACCGACATCTTGAATCTACCCGAAACAATACATGAATGCCTTTGGAAGAAGAGAACATAATGAAGTAAGGAACCACCCACATGATAATTTCCTCAAAGACAGATTTTATTTGAATGGGAAATGAAGCACTGAAGGCAGAGTATTGCCATGAGAAAGGAAGAAAGCAAGCAAGCATCTGGGCATTTGGTGTACGGCTAATTAACATGGGATAAAGACAGTACCCATTAACTGAGAGGATCAGAGTTCAATAGTTACAATAGCTAAGATTTAGGCTTTTATGAAATATAGAACTGATTTTTACTGGGTGGTTTGATCAGCTGTGAGATGGTCAATGTTTCCCTAGCAACAGCTCAACGCTTCAAGCCCACAGCTTGGCTGGAGCCCAAGATTCAGCACTGCTCAGCCTGCTGCTGCCCCCCTCATCTCTATCCAGTTCTGCTGGTCACTGCAAGGTTAGTGTTCAGAAGTTGGTTCGTTACTAGAACCTGAAGAGGAAGAAAAGGCCTTAAAATAAAGGCCTTTAAACATCATTTTTGTTCTGTAATTTTCTGAGAAATAAAGCTTACCAGCTTATTGTGGTAATGGCATTGAAGAATAGCATTTCAGGATCACCTGCTTCCCTTGGAACAGAGTAACAATTTCTTTGAGGCTGCAAAACACAGTTCCTAAGCTGCCTATGTGCCTTCCTCCCACCTCTCACAGTAGCTAACCGAATCAAACAGCCTCCTGTTAGCTGTTCCTGGGGTGAAGGCAAGGATTTCATGGTTTGCAGCTTAGTAGTGGATGTTCTCAGCTGCTCATACCAGCAGGCACACAAATGAAGAAATGTGAAGCCTGAATGCTTCTGATCTGTTTGTAAAGTGCAAAGGACAAGGCAGCAAAGAACTAACTTGTTTTTACTGGCTCTTTATAACCCTTTGAACACAAGAAACTAACACAGGTCTTGCCTACCTCTCCTCCTTAATGTCTTGTATCCTGAAAGTACTTTTAAACAACCTGGCCCCACAAAACAGCTTTCAAACAATCAACTGGATGGAACTTCACACCAAAAATAAAAGCCATGGCAGCTACCACAGCCATGCTCTTAGCCATCAGATTCCTCCCTGCATTATTTGCACTCAAGTGCCACAGCTTTGTCAGAGAATAGGAGCCTACGTGCTGCCCTGAGGCCCTGCCCAGGTGACCAGCACAGCTGGACTCACAGCAGAGCATCGCTCTGACAAACTCATGGGACGCTCTTTCCATTATGTCCATATAGACCTGTATTTGCTAAAGGAAGTGCCTCCTCTGCTCATTTGAAGCATCACACTTGTGAGCAATAGCTTGTATGTGTTAGCTTTAATTGCCTTTGGGTAAGAAATTAAGTAAGGCAGCTGGGGAACGTATGGCAAGGGAGGTGTGGTGAAATCACCTTTAGTGTGCATTATAGTACCAGACTGGGGCACCTATAAGAACAGTTTCCAGTTATGAAAATAAATGGAGAAAACTGATTCCACTTAGTTCAGCTTGTGCTTACTGCACTTACAGCACTAGCCAAGGATGGGAAACTACTTTAAATAGCTGAATAAATTCAAATACTGGTTGCTGTTCTTTAACACACTTTAATTATCCTAATTGCGTGCATCCCCACCAGCCCTAGCTACTGCTTGTGCTGTCAGCTTGAGCAGGCTGAAAAAAACCTGTAAAACTTAACTGGCAAGCAATTCTTCCTTTCACTGTCCTAGCTGCCTTCTGAAATGGCTCAGTGGCCTTGCTACAGTTCACCTGCTGCCGTGTGTGACAGCATGGCTCACTGGTGGGGCCACAGCACTTCTATCTGAAAAATGTGCAGCCTGCTGGCACCCATCTCAGGGAAGGCCTTGGTGGTAGGTGATGGTTGGAAGTGATAATCTTAAGGGTCTTTTCTAACCCAGACAATTCTGTGATTCCACGATAAAGGCTCATGCACAAAAGCCTAGAAGCTTGCCCTTGCTCCTGAAAGCTCCGAGGGCAGAACCACCACGAAAGTCACAGTGCCTATAGAGCACTCCTTGCCCACTGTCAGCTCAGTGCCTGCCTCCCCTCAGGTTGGGCCAACCGCACAGCAGTGCCACAGCTCAGCAGGTCTTCAGCTCATTTTGGTAAGTGCTTATATGTAAAGAAGTAGTTATGTTTACCTTGTTCCTAGTTTCACCACCAAGTGGCACTAAACAATTAGCATTTCATTTCAGGCAGAGAATGATGAGCCTGTGACAGCAGTACTGTGGTTTTTCACACTGAGTCACCGCTAATTACCCTCTGCTCGTGCGGTAATAAACCCTGCAGAGGGCTTGCTCTGTTAAGAATGCATCAGATGGGAGTTTCCACGCAGTTTTTACACTTCGTTGCAATACTTTTTGCTCAGCCCATTTTCCAACACTATGCTAATCTGAAGTATTGAAAAATAAAACAATACATCTGCTTTCACAGAAACTGAACCTGTAAGAGTAACCAGTGAAAAAGACTGGGAGAAAAATCAGGGCAGAGAGTCCTTCAAGACCTAATGTATTATCCCTCTGTGAAGCCCACTGAAACCCTTCCAAGATTTCAACTGATATTAGTTAGCATCAGACAAATCTTTCTATTATCAGGCTTGTAGTTTTCTGCCTGACATTACTTAATACTTCCACTGTATATTAAGGATAGGGCATCAGACACATTCTCCTTCAGTTCAACCATTCCAAGTCTTACCTGCTTACAAAAAAAGATCCAAAGGCACGTGAAGAACTCTATTTTAAACCTCAGTCCCCCTCTCTGCTCATACACACTACCCAAAGACACAAACTTACCTGCTAAGCTCTGCCACTGCTGCACCTGACCACGCCATCAACTTCAGCACGCTTCCCTGCAGCCAGGAGCACTTCCACCTCCTTCCCTGTAAGGAAGGAAAGCAGCATTAGTGACATACTCTCCTGTATCAGTCTGCAGGTATCTCCCTCATATCCAATAACTACTTTTGTATGATTTGCTGCCAATGAACTGCTGCAGCTCCCAGCACTGCCCATCCTGCAGCTGGAACTGCTTGGCTGGAGCACCCAGGAAAGGTAAAGCCTACTGCAAAGCCTGCTGTGGCCTACGGCAGGCACTGGCAGGAGGGAAAGCCGGCCAGCCTACAAGAGAGCTGCATCTCATCTCCTTACTCGTCAAAGCCACTGCAGGCCTGTGGTAGCCCCTAGGGACCAATGCTTGTGCACAGACCCTGCAGCTGCAGTGCTGGGCAGGTGGAGCAGGAGTCTCACAGTCCCCAACTGCAGCTGCCTCCTCACCCTTTTAACACTTTGTTCTATATCCCTCACATTTGCAGCTCCTCTAACAAACTGTGAAGTAAATACATGGAATATTTTTCCTGGTGAACACTGCAGCAGTACAACCTTATCTACAGCAATACTTGTGCTGTTCTTCCCATCTACTCTTGTATGGGTTCTTTTCATGCAGGCAATGCCTGAAATAGCTTACTGACTCATAACAATTACAACAAAACGAAGAACTGGGAGCCAATATCACACTGCAAGAGCAGTGCTTGTGGCTTCGCCCAGGTTCTACTGCGCCTTGCTGATCCCTACTGACAAACAAACCTGCGAGGGACAATTCTGTCCACAACGTATCTGCAAACACTGACCGTCCAGCACACAAACCTCTTCTGTGACCAAAGTGGAGCTCTTCCTGTGCTCCTCTTGTACCTGGTGTCCTCACGGTACATCAGAAGCCCCACTTTGACTGCTGTCAGATGAGCATGGCACACAGCAGTTACTCACTATGGCCAACTGCTGCACCTAACTGTAACACTGTAACACGATGGAAATTGCCAGGATGAGAGCATAACAGCAAATCTTCAGGCTATGGAAAGGAAGGATTTGCTCAAACAAAGCAACCATAGATACAGAAACAAAGGAAAGAAGCTGCTTACCCTCAGAAGGCCTCAGGTACACCCAAATCTCCACTGAGATACCTTTATCTCCACTGTCAACCCTTAAATGAGGTCTGACAAGGGGTGCATCCTGGCTCCACCCCTTCCATCAATCAGGCACACTGCATGCACCTGAGCTCCCCTGGGCTGGCCCTGCCTTCCCACCAGGTGCTCAATCACTGCTCCAAGCTGTCTCAGCATTTCCACTACACTAACCAATATCTAACATACCTGTCTGCTGTCCTCTGCACTCCAGTAACTGCTGCACAGATATTTCAGAAATACTGCAACATTCTGGACTGAACAGCAGTTTATAAGAATGCCTGAACGCACTCTGGACTGTTATGGAAAGTGCCATAAAATTATCTCAGATACAGACAACAAGGGAACCGACCCAGTCCAACAACAAAAAGCAATGCATTTCATGCCATATCACATTCTTCTGATGCTTCATTTTTTAATTCATCTGGGGCACAGCACACTGAAATGACCGAAGTGCTAACACAGACGATGCATTGTGTCAGAGCATCCCCCCATGCTGCAGTTGGAACACAGACACATGAACAGGGCAGTCCCATGAATGAAATCCAAGTCTGAAAGCAGAAGGCCAACATGCAGAGCAGGGCAGGCAAAGCACTGCTACTTATTCAACCTCCCCCCTAACATCAGTGACCGCACACACCCGTGGCACACAGAGAACCTCGGGATGCCCCCAGGGCACCTGCTGTGGCATCAGCCACCTGCACCACAGCTGCACCCAGAGCAGACAGACTCTGGGGAGCACCCCTTCCCAGCCCATCATTCCCAGCAAGGAGCATTTTTAAAAACAGGAAAAATTCTTATTTTTTAATTTCCAAGACCAGACTTCTTAATACTTTTGTAAAAGTAGATGTGATAGGGACGTGTGTGTCATCCAACTGTGGCATTACTTGGGACATTATTACAACTGAGCAACAACCACAGCAACAGAAGCCAGAAACTCAAGTCTGTGTCTTCTGCAGGCCGTGTGCTGGTTCTGGTTTCCATGTGGAACTCACAGCTCCATTGGCAGCAAGCAGTCCTCCTGCTCATTACACACCTGCCCTTCTCTTTTTTTGTTACGAAAGTGAGGAGATTGAAAGTGTACAGCCACTTCTGAAATTCCAATCCACGGCCATCAGTGTAAACCTGTGTGGCATTGCTCCAGCTCCTCCTTTCAGATACAACCAGCTGACTTCCTGCAGCACTGCAGCTACGTATGAACATTGCTGGCCAAAATGCTAAACACATTTGATAATCCACAATTTTGTTTTTTCTCACTTTCTAGCAACGAGCAACAAGCAGTTCCCACCAGTTGTGAAAGTGCAGCCGTACAACACAATGGCAACTTCCTCCCAAATCCCTGGCTATGCTCCTCTTAACCTTGTTTAAATCAAATTAATTAAGTGCTCTGGTATCTTCATAATCACATTATCCCAGGTGAAACATTGCTCTGCTGGAAAAGACATTTCACTTTTTCTTTGAGAAGCACGTACACAATGGAAACAGCAGAAAAATACTGAAACAAGTGATTTTTGTTATCTTTAACAAACAAGCTCTTGCAGAATGAACTCAATTTACTTCCTAGGTTTTCTTTGACTTAATCAGAACGCACCTGGCCCTGCAGCAAGGCATTAGCAGCATGTGGCAAAGCTATCATAGTGCAATCAACTCACCCAAGTTGCCTTGTAGGGCCTCCCTCGCTCCCAGCCTGGTCACCACGTGGTTAAACCCTCCCTGCCCAGGCCCACCTACAGCGGGTTTGTCCACAGCTTGGTGCTAACACTGAATGGTGATCAGAGCAGCGGTGCCACAGCAGCACAACCACCAAGGACAGAAACTTGCTATTCAAACTGATTCCCAGTAACCCCCCAGCTGCAGCCCTATGCCAGCTTGCAGCAAATCACACAAGCACACTGAGCCTTTGGCTGCACCAGGATGTTAATGGCAGCCACCCAAACTGCCCTCTATCACTGTGCTTGTCATTGTCACTGCTCAACGTGTTTCCCAACAAACACCAAACTGCACAAGGCTGTCCTTCTGGGTCCCAGGAATTCCTTATCTATCTATCTCAGGGATTAAGCACACCATGGGACGTGCTACTCTGAATTTCAGCTGAGGGAAAGCCAGCCAGCCAACAGGATGTAAACGTATGCTTGGCTACAACTCATAGTACACATCTGTAAATAAGCAGCCTATGGTGCAGTTATTTTCCCTCCATCATTACAAAGCAACATGGACCTCCAAACATCGGAGAACCAAAGCAAGTAGTGCTCTGGGTACCTCAGCTCATTTTCTGTTCATGCAGTGAATGGAAGTGCAGTCCCACTCCTCACGGTGTTGTTTGGTGCTTACTGTGCCTTTTCCTTCAGAAATGTGTTGTCATTTACATCCAGACAAATGTGGAGATTTGTCATATCTTTATCACCTGCAGTTGAAGGCACCCTGCAATTGCAGACCATCCAGAAGAAAACAATGTCAGAACACGGCCCAAGCTCTGCCTGGCCCAGCAGACACGTGCCACACAGAGGGAACTCAGAGAGGCACAGTGGGTGGCAGGGGCTGTGTGGCAATGCCAGGAGCAGGGCTCTGGGCCAAGCTGCATGCATCCAGCATTGTTCCATCCACAGAATTCTACTGCCGTGTGTGCTCCTGCAGCACTTATAGGGTGATCAGGGCCTGTAGAGCACATCTCCACCTATTCCATTTTAGCTTTCTGTTATAAACTGTTTTGGCACAGAGTGGTATGGAACAGACTGGCCTCACTTAGTCTTCCACAGCACTGAAACCACAGTGCCATTTGGATAAATCCCTCCTCAGCTGAGTTCCACCTGTACAGTAGAAGGCTCTGAGCAAACAGACCCAGTAGGGCTGCTCTGGCCCAATACAGACGATGAAATGGATTCATCTGCTCCATCTGTATGCTTTCAAACCTGATGATTTCTGCTCCACAACACTCCAGAGGTGCTAGACTTTGGATGTGTCCCCAGCAATGCTCCCACAGCACAGGGCAGAGGCTCTGTTCACAAAAACATTTCCCTTCCTGTTAATACCTTCCATAAAACTGCTGCTAACCCCACACAGATACCATCACAGAGGCTGAAGTGCTGAGAGCTGAGCAGGAGTCATCTCCAGCTCACCAACACCTCGAGGAGGATCCCTGGTACAGCACGGCTGGCAGCAGGGCTTGGTGCCCCAATGCCTCGCAGCCTCCTGTCCCTCGGAGCACTGTGAGATCTACACAGATGCACATTATGGGATCTTCCATGTTTGAGGGGGAATAAAAAGAAACAGCAAATGCTTTCCAGCTGGCATGTTTAAATGCTCTCCACCTTCACCCGAGCCACGTGCAGGTTAATTTCAGCTGATGACAGATCTCTCATCCAAATGTCACCGCAGATAACGCGAAGCTGTTACACAGCCTGCAGTGAACCTTACAAGAGAACATTAACACAGCATGTCCGTGTGAGTGCTGTTGTACCTTCAACATGTTCAGGCTAAGCACAGAACCAAGGCATGAGGTTTGCACCCACACCTTTAAGCACTGACACGGAGGAGCTGCTCGGAGCCAGCTGGTGCAGGAAGGCCATGCTGCTGCTGGAGCCAACACCAGATAGACACCATATGGCAGCGACACAACTCCTGATTAAGAATAACGTACACACAGAAAATAATGCCCTGTGATTGCCAGAGGCACCCCACACATCAAAAGGGAAACAACGTGACTGCAGTCCTTCACTCCCATGACGCTCATTTCCCCTTCCTAGGGGCTGAGGAGCTCCCTGTGTGCAGTGGGCACAGCGGGGCACGTGCTGCAGAGAGGGGCAGTGTGAGACATGGACAGAGCCATAGGAACAAAGGCACAGCATGGAAATACGAACCTGAGAAAACCGAGTCAATAAACCAAGAGGTTCTACTATTTACGGGTGTTATTTTCAGAAGCTGTAAAC